ATAGGACACAACTTTCCATTATGTAGAAGGCACCTGATAAATATTTGCAAAGCTAATGAAAAACAGAAAAGAAAGCTAAAGTTTTAGGAGAGCACATTTTTCAAGTGCTCCTTATGCCATATGCCTCTTTCGCTAGACTGTTTATTTTTCAAGAGTACAATCATCTTTTTTTGGGGGGGGGACTATTCATATATGTTTAATTAACATCTGAATATTTTATGTAAGCATAGCTAGAAAATTTAGTAATAGAATCTGTTTTAAAAATGGACTTTAGAAGGCCCAGCCCAGTGGCATAGCAGTTAAGTTTAAAAGCTCTGCTTCAGTGGCCTGGGGTTCTCGGGTTCCGATCCTGCCATGGACCTATGCACCGCTTATCAAGCCATGCTGTGGCAAGCATGGCATCCTGGTGGGCTCTGGGGGCATCCCAGTGAGAGGAGGATCCTCTCCGGAGACTGAGACATTGGTGGGGGCCGCTGCCCTGAGCTGGCCCAGGCGCGCCGACATGGCACCGGTGGGGGCCATCAAGGTGCGTCCCCCAGGCTGCTAGCCCAGGGGTCCACCACCTAGAGTACAATGATCTTCTGTTGATCACATATAATATTTCTGTATCTGTCTATGATAAATATTATTGGTTTTTAAAAATGCATAAATCATTCAATGCAGGACACAAAGATCAGCACAGCCTCAGAATATCTATTGTCTAGGACTAAGCTTACTGATCCTACCTCATTATAAAGGAATGCTGGCTAACCAAATGGGTCTTGTACCAGGGCCTAAAACCCTGTACTCTCACTCTGGAAAACTATGCTAGACCCATTTGTATAGTTTTTGTATGTTTCTAGTGAAGACCAAACTCTTTATTACTACTCATCAGAGTATATTATAGGTCAGTCTATCCCATAGCTGTGTGCCTGTGTCTTGATGATGTTTAATTTTTCAATTTTTTAACAAATTGAGTCTGCTAAAGATTTATTCTTCCCAGCTCCTCTCTTGCTTTGAAACCATACTTTCCTGCCACTCCACAGTCTGCAATCTGCAAGAACACCTGACACTCTCCCATAAACTCCAATAAAATGTTAGAAACACTAGGTATCCTTTCATAAAGTGTGCCGACTGGTTTCTCTTTGGTTATGTTCCCACGGACACATCCATATTCTTAATGCCACTCAATTCACTAGACAATCAAGTCTTTAAATTCTTAACAACTTGGCTCTGCAAATTCTAATTTTTTTATTCAACTTTCTTGAGGTATAATTTATACACAATAAAATTCAGCTATTTTATGTGTTCCGTGAGTTTTGAATACAAAGGAGCAGCATGAGCAAATTATAATATTTTAAGTGAACTTCACAGTAAATTAATACATATAGACAAAGCAGCCTTATGTGTCCAACTGCCTGAATTCTACTCTTGGTTCAGCTACTTACTACCTGTATGACCTTGAGCAAGTCTCTTAGTTTTCTGCCTCAACTTCCTCATCCATATGATGGGGATAATTATTGTACCCACTTCCTGGAGTTAATAAATGCACAGTTAGTACTCAATAAAGACTAACAATTGTTTCTTTTGTTAATGTTATTGTTGTCATTATTATCCTATTAGAAAACAAATCCTGGAATCTAAACAAGAATAGAAAATGACTGGAATGTCAGTGGGGTAGAAGCAAGTACCTCTGGGTGACTTGCTAGTGTACCAGGCGCACACAAAGCCAGAGAAGAAGTATGGCCTCTATTTCTGGAATATTTATTTTTTCCTTAAAGATTTTGGAAGAATTTATTTTCTATTAAAACAGTCACCCATACAGTGAAATCACATGCCACATTTTGCATGAATTTTTAACAAAAAACAACAGTCTTCAAAGACCTTTTGGCTACCTGACACTTTGAGGGGAAGGGTGGGTACTGCATTCACTTCCTTCTGCTGCTTTCTCTCCTCTTTGCTTTGATGAAAATGTTTGCAAATTCCAGACCGTACACTAGTAATGTTTACCTTAACGTTATTAAAGCACCTCCTATTTTTATATGCTATCAATGTTGCCCAAATGTAGAATCTTTGCCATTAGTAAATGTTCACATTTTAGACCAAGAATGTTTTGGAATATGGAAGAAAATTATTAAAGCATGACCTTGGGGAAATCAAGTCATCAGGAAGAAGAGAGTGAAACTGAATTCTAGTTCTGATTCTGTCACTAACCAGCTAGTTTGTTTATATCCACCAGGGCAGGGATCTTTGTTCTTTTCACTCATGATTCCCACATTTCTAGAATAAATATGATCTTGGGAAAGACACCTAGTCTTTATTAGTCTCAGTTTCCTCAGCCATAAAATAAGAGGGTTGGATCAGTAGATCTCAAACTTTAGTGTGTATAGGAATTAAATGGAATGCCTATTAAAAATGCAGATTCCTTCTCTATGTCCATAAATTCAGATTTGGTAGACACAAGCTGGGATCTAGCAATCCACATGGATTTGGGAAATTTGGGTTGAAAGGGGCAGAAATTCAACTCAAAAATGAGCCATTTGTTTTTGGTTTTGTTTCACTTCTTCTCCTCCTCCCCCAACACTCACACGCAAAAACTGGAAAATACAGTGTAATGATTGCTTTATGCATAGTTAGATCTAGCTGCTTAAATAATGTCACCAACTATCTCTTGGTTCTCCTTTCTTCTGTGTTAACTTCTGTTTTAACTTCACTCTCTGTCTGGTTTTCTCTTTACTATAGTAAGCTAGTCCCTCTGGGCCTCTATTCTCCTGACATAGAAACCCCAACACAAAGAGTGTTCCTCTTTCTCAAAGTTTCTAGCAGAAGAACTACACCTGACTGTGACTGGATCACATTGTTTCATGTACCCATGCCTGCACTCATCACCCTGCTCAGGGGCTATGGTTCTTTAACCCACATTTGGGTTAAATGCACCAAGTGAATTTGGGAGTGCAGCTACCCTACCCAAATCATGTAGGCTGGGGGTGGGGGAGATGTGGTTCTCCAAGATAAATTGGGGGTAATTTTTCCAGAAATAGGGAAAATGGATGTTTATTAGCCAAAACTATAGATTTTTATCCACTACTGTACATTTTTATAGAAATATTTCGATGAGAATGAGCCAATTGGTATATTACAAAATGACAACCAGTGTGCCAAGGTACAGAGGCCTTCAGCCTTCAAGGTGACCCAGGAGGGCCTCGAAAGGGCCTAAGATGGTCAGTGTCCCTGAGCCAGTTGTGTTATCCATTTACCCCAGTGTTTTCGGCAAATATTAAGCATTTACTATGTGTGCCATGAAGATGATTTATGTGCAGATTATCTATGAATTGTACATTGGGGATCAATGGATTTTGAGAATCATTCACACTTTGAGGTCACCTCAAACATACTTTAGGATCCTTATGAGATAACTTGGAAGGTGGTTTATGCAAATGAAAGGACAGCAAAAACTCCGATTGTAATAAAAAGAAATGGGACTAACAAACAAACACAACCATCAGTTGAAACCTGCTTTGACTTGGTTATCAGTTTGGTTTTAATTTAATATTCTTGAGCAAATGTAGTCTGTTCTCTCTAATGGATACAGTCCCAGCCTGTATCTCAGCATCCCTGGCTCCTTTTAATGTTTGGAGCACATTATACAGGCAATGGAAAGGGGTAAGCTGGCAACAGCATGGAACAGAAAACTGAGTTGACTGTTAGTCATCAGATTTGTTTTAGGTGCATTACATGTGAGTTCATGAAAGAAGTGAATTCTGATGAAAGAATTATTATCTCCTTCCTTTATTAAGTGAAGAAGCTACTATCATTCTCTTAAACTCATTAATAAAATTAATAAAATATATCTACCTCTTCAATTTAGTATTGTCATTACTTTAGTTTCAGATGGCCTCTGCATACCCCTTCCTAACTTTCACCTTCGCCAAAGCAACCCAATGTGATAAAGAAAGCATTTTCAATAAGTCGTGCTAGACTAACTAGATATGCATATAGAAAACAAACAAACTACACTGATCCCTACCTCACACCATATGCACAAATTCATTTGATATATGGACATAGATCTAAATGTAGAAGCTAAAATCCTAAAGCTTTTAGAGGAAAACATAATATAACTTGGAGATAGACAGAGCTTTCTTAAATAAGCCATAAAAGCAATAACCATAAAAGAAAAAATAAATAAATGACATGTTAAAATTAAAAACTTATCCTCATCTAAAGGAAAACAGGGACTGAGTAAAGCCTGGGAATCCCTGATTAAACAATCATTACCACCAGGGAGATTTCCTCTCTCCTGCATTAGTTCAAGTTATTTTGACTTGTAAGTGATAGTCGCTGACTCTGTGAGCTTAAGCAAAAAGGGAAAAGCACACTGGGGATTTTCATGGAATCTAAAGTCAGTGCAGTGGGGCCTCAGGAACAGAAGTATTGGGAACCAGTAAATCCTCTCTTTCCATATCTCTTCTTGGTCTTTCTTGTTCCAGGCGGTCCAGCTCCCTCTTCCCTCAGTTACATAGCAGATCACGGTTGCCAGCTGTACTTGAGCCAAGGATGTTACAGTCAAGCCACCCAGAGGAAGGCCCATCTTTCTGTCTGTCGCAGTTCTCAGAGAAGAGTCTGATTGTCCCATTTGGGTCTAGTGACCACTATTAGTCCAATAAACTCTGGCCAGAGTCAGAACAACATTTAAAGAAACAAAGCAGCTTCTTTCATCCATGGGAATGTAAAAAAGTAATTATATTCCAATTAATATGCTCTCTATATTTCCTCTTCATTAGACAAAAGATGGAGTTGACAAAAATTTTGTACGTTTTTCTTCTTCCTTTTTTTTTTTAAAGGTTGGCACCTGAGCTAACAAATGTTGCCAATGTTTTTTTTTTTTATTCTCCCCAAAGCCCCCCAGTACATAGGTACATAGTTGTATATTCTAGTTGTGAGTGCCTCTGGTTGTGCTATGTGGGACACCACCTCAGCATGGCCTGATGAGTGGTGTCATGTCCGCACCCAGGATCTGAACCAGCAAAACTCTGGGCCATCGTAGTAGAGCGCGCAAACTTAACCACTCGGCCATGAGGCCAGTCCCTATACATAGTTTTTAATAACTATAAGTTTTGGTGTATTGATATACTATTTCTTTGATTCTCTAATATCAACATCTCTGCCTCTTTACAAGTTGATTTATATGTATTAAGAGCTGTAAACAAAATTAGTCCATTTTAAAAATGGGCATATTTATTTGTAAATTATCAGCCAAGATCTATCCCAATGCAGACTGCTTTGTTCTAGTCTGAATATACAATAAAATTAATTTAAATAACTTTAATCAGCTTCAAAAACAGCAAATTCCAAGACAATTAGGTTAACTTTAAGAACTCATATTTATTGAGTTAACAGATGGTAAATTAAAAAACAATGAAGTTAATTTTTAAAATCATTCACTGAGTTAAAAAAATAGACATTTAACAAAACTGTTTTTAAGTTGTTTTTTCATCCCAATATGCATATTTTAAGATTCCAATTTAGAGGACTTCTGGGAAGACACCAAATGACTCGCAGTATATGAATGCTCTTCCACCAAATAACTTATTAAACAGCCTTAGAACCATCTGAAAAAGAATTGTATGCATCAACAATAAAAATATAAGAAATGAGCTTATTCCAGATACTGGAAGGAATGAAAGATCTGCCTCATCAATTCCAATTTGTTCTCTGACACGCTCTCGTGGCCTTCTGTATTGCTGGCCCTGACATACCTTGGGAATTTTCTATGCTAGCAGAGTAAAAGTTACTCCTGGCCAGATTGCATTTCTACATTTTAGCAGTCAAATGTAAAAGATTTCCCTTTGATGGCTTCTTGGGACTTGTGCACCAGTGACTTGAAATATATGAGCATCACAAAAATGTTTTCTTTGTTTTCTCCTTTGCTGTCATTGTAAGTGCTAAAAGCTGACTCTGCAAGCTTACAGGAAAAGAGGAATTTCGTGGAAGCACAGTGAGGGTGTGAGGGTTTTTCCTCTTGGGCTCCTACTTCATTGGGTCTCCTTGGAGTTTTTGGAGATGAAAGAATGACATATTCCAATACATGAAGTGTACTAGAAACTCTCGTTGTTTCCACATGAGAGTTCAATCATTTCTCCTACTTCCCATGGTTTTATTGATGGCATTGAAGAGAACACCATGGATACATTAAGATACATTATTTGCATTGTACTGGCTATTATTAGGGGTTTTTTGGTAAGGAAGACTCTTTCTGAGCTAACATCTGTGCCCATCTTCCTCTATTTTGTATGTAGGATGCCACCACAGCATGGCTTGATGAGCAGTGTGTAGGTCCACACCCAGGATTCGAATCCACAAACCCCAGGCCACCGAAGCAGAGCGTGTGAAATTAACCACTATGACAGCAGGCTGGCCCCTGGCTATTATTGGTTTTAACGTCGTGGCATATTTAGAACAAAAGTTCTACCTGTAGAGATGAAGTTATTTCACAAACATATTTGGAATAGATCTGTTTGCATGGCTGGTTGCTCAATCGGTGTTACAGTCTTTTCTTTACCCTGGATAACAGCAAACTGTCTTATATTTTATTTTATGATTCTCAAAACTCCTTGTCTAAGATCTGGTCTCACTACATTGTAAACCTTACATTTCTTGGTCAGTAATGTTGAGAATTATATTTACTGGTTTTGATAGACCAATTTATTAGTTGTAATTTGAATTAAAAACAGAGATGTAAAGCACATTTATTAGTGAAATTACTGGAGTAAAAATTATCTTATTATTGTGCATTTGAAACTATTTAGCGCCTAGCCCCTTTTCTCCTTGAAATAACTGTTTTTATAATAACCTTTTGATAATATGAGACTTCTTAGAAATGTATTTATTACAATATAGTAGTACAGACTATATTGTTTTTAATTAAGCAAGAACAGGTATAAATAAGAATAGATTGTGACTAAATGAAAAATTCAGTAGGTGAAATTTCTATTTTGCAGAAATAGAAATCAGAGATACAGAAGAAAAACTTCATAAGTAGTCTAAACATCCAAAGGAGATGAATAAAAGTTAAAAAGATAAGAGGAAATTGGATAAATTATGGAGTTCTAACTCAGAATATAAGTTCCTTAAGAGCAATAAAAATCTTATTGTAACCTTACCCCTAACAGAGGACTTAACACATAGTATATACTATTAGTATTAAATAAATGTTTCTTGAACTTATGAATAAAATAATCAGTGTTCCCCTGAAAATAAAGCAGATGGACCAGAAGTAAAAATCAAAGTTATAAAAGAAAAACTTTGTGAAGAAAAAGTTGCACTGACAGATTTCTTTTGAACAAAATTAGGAAATAGAGATAAATGCCTAGTCAGAGGCTGGTCAATTTTTAAATTTCTAGGGCAAACAAAATTCCTGCAATTGTCTAAGAAAAATATATATATAAATACTTTTGTAGATCACCCTCATTTTTTTAATATAGAACAAGAACTTTTTTAAGACCACAGGTAAATTTCTACATATTTTAAGAGAAACCAGTTTTATTTTGCAAGTTTTATGCCTACCTGATTATTGGCTTATGTGTAAAAGCAACAGTGGAACATTTTAAAATCTGAAAAGTGTCAGAAAATATAAACATTTTCTGAAAAATATTGCAGAGAGATATCTTCCAGATCATTGAGAGGTGAGACAATATAAAAACTCAAGGATAGGACATTTTGGGAAAAATGATTAGTGCTAAGCATTGAAGGCAAAGACAAAGAAATAAATGAATAATGTATAGTGAAAATTGAAGTGAGTGAAGAATTGATGCTGATGGCTAGATATTTTTTTTTACTAAAGGACCAATGTTTTCAATAAAACAATCTTTAAGAAGAAATTTTCATATTTTTAAGTGAAGAGTTTGTAACTCATGGTCACAATGTGGAATGAGGAAATGTAGAAAACAAAAGCATTAGAAGTTGTTGCTTTATTTTTAAATCATTAGATAAGAATGCATTTAAGGATAGTTATGCATAATTAAATGTAGGCACTAGTTGAACTGGAAACAAACGATCTATGTTATAAGTAACTGTAGAAAATAAAAGTAAACAAAACATAGTCCATGCAAAAGGCAGAATGGAAAGGAAACAATAACAAACTATTGAAAAGGACAAAGTATAAAATAAGTCCAATCAAGCTTAAAAATTATGACAAGTATAAATGGCTTAAATTTTCCTATTCAAATGGAAAGATCTTCACATTAAGTTACAATGAAAGTCTTATGATTTGGTGTACTTACAAGAGTCATACTTAAAGAAAAATGACATAGAAATATTTTTTTAAATGGCAAAGATTTTCCAGCCTAACATGCTTACATCTAAATCAAATATAGCAATATAAATATAAAAGAGGAATTTTTGTCACAAAAAAAGTAAATAAGACAACAGGACTATTTTATAATCATGAATAGCATAGTATTAGTGAGAGAATAATGGTACTGAAAGATTATGCATTAAATAAGCAAAAGGTAATTTTTACATTCCGTTCTTTTAATACAATAGGACTCAACACAGCAAAATATTGAAAATAATATGTATCCAAGCAGTGCAAAAGTTTACAAAATTAGAAACTATACTAGGGAAATACATCATATCAGTAGGTTAAATAAAAAAAGAAGTCAATTGTTATTTTAATAGATTGTTTTTAAAAGCATTGGATAAAATTTAATAGCTGTTTCTGTTAAAATGATAAAGAAGGAAAAATAAAATATTTCCCTAACATGATAGTATTTTCAACTAACAGTCAGCATTAAAATTAATGTAAAAATACTAGAAATGTATGTGTTTAAAAACAGGTGGGGATGGAAGTTGGTATGATGGTTTGGTCATAATAATCTTATTAAATGTTATTTTAAAAGCCCTGATCAGTGTAATAAAACACTAAAGAAAGAACAGGTATAAAGAGTGAAAAAGATACAACATTATCCTTGTGTATTGGAAAAATATTTTTTATAGCTCAAAGCCCAAGGGACTCAAGAAAAATATGAATAGACAATAAATGAGTAAAAATTAAAAGACATATGAATATTAAATAAATCAGTAGTATTTTTAAATATTAGCAACCATTTAAATATAAACTTTTAAAAGAGGTTCATTTTATAAGAGCAACAAAATGTATAAAGCTGTATGATTTATTTTAAACAGAAATATGTGAAATAAAACTTTTGGGGAGCTAAAAAATGTTAAATAATCAAAAGACCTTATTTTTATTGTTTGATTGTTTTTGATATAGCTAAAGTTCTCCTAAAGAACTTTTTGGGAGCTATAAAAATATTAAAAGACTAGTTTCTGCTTTAAAAGATAACATTTTTTTAACTGTTAACTTTTTCCAAAAGGTAGATTTAATGGAAATCTAATAGTTTTTCTTTTGTTTTTCACATTTTGAGATAATAGTGAGAGGAACTTGATTTTGAAATAAATCCGGAAAAGAAAGTAGGCAAGAATAGCAAGTAAAAATCAGTTTTGAGAAAGAAGAGTAATGAGAAGAGACCAGTCTTATCAAATATTAAAATATATTATAAAGTTATAATAATTAAAATCATGTGATACTGGCACCAAAATAGATAGATTAATGAGGCTAAATATGTGGTCAAAATAAATTATATTTTGAGAATATAATGAAGTATTTCAAAGAATGAAATATTTGATAATGGCAGGACACAAATCAATGGAGAGGGAAAACACTTTACAACACGTGGACTGATTAACAGTTTGGAAAAAATCAATTTGCACATTCATCATACACATGCAATAAATTAGCAAAACTCAAACCATAGGAAGTCTAAAGGGACTTGTTTTTATAAGCTTAGAATACTGTAACTAATTGCAAAGTGAAAGATAAAATAGATTTGATTATATTAAAACAGCAATAAAACAAGCCACCAGTAGCCTAGGTACAATTATTTGAATGTAATAACAGAAAGGGTTAATATGATTATTGCACAGAAGATCATACAAACTCATAATAGCACTGCAACTGAGAACTCATACATGAGATAAGAATAGAATCACATTTCACAAAAGATGAAATATAACACATTTGCAAACATACAAAAACATCCAGTCTTACTAATAATCACATGAATATACACTAAAACAAGAATAAGTTATACTTAGGTTTAATCCATTATTTTTAAATTAGTGTCAAGGACTTCTACTCTCAGCTGTTGCAGATTATTTTCATTTAGATCAACTCATCCGCTGAAAGCAAGTAGAAAAGCTGAATAAAATCTAGCAAATATTTATTTAAAGGCATACCAGAGCTCTGAGGTAGAGAGGACTTGAAAGGCCAAGAACCCAGAGAGCAGGGAATCCAAGAGAGATCCCCTATACATAACTGCCTGTCAGAAGCAAAAGTGAAACATCATTTGACAAAGATATGATCATCCAGAGGCTCAAATTATTTCTATGATTTTTCACACACAATGTGCGGCATTTAATAAAGTTACCAGGCATACCAGCAGACAAGATAAAATGACCAAAAATAGACCTACAGGAGATCCAGATACAGGAGTAACAGACTTTAAAATATCTGTGATTAGTCAATTAAAGAAATTAGATGAGAAGATGGAGAATTGCAACAGATTACTGGTAGCTATCATGAAAAACAGAAATTCTGGAACTGAGAAATAAACTGATAGAAATTAAAAACTCAATAGATGAGTTTAAGAACAGATTAGAAAAAGATGAAGAACAGATTGATAAACTGGAAGACCAAAGCAAGAGGAAATTTAATGTTAGTAGCCAAAGTCAGCAAGAGGTCATTGAAAAATGGTTTCTTCTTACATAACGAGTGGCATATAAGTCTGTATAACACTTTTTGGAAATACTTGGCAATGTAAGTCAGATAGTAGAACAAAAACTTTTATATCTTTTGACCCAATATTCTTATCTCTGAGAATATATTATAAGGACATAATTTTTTTATTGTGAATTGCTTTATGTATGAAGATGTTCATTACAGACATTTATAATAGTAATAACTTTGTGCAGATGATGTTTTAAGTTCTTTTCTTCAATTAATGCAGTTAATCCTCACAAAAACCCAACGAAGTGGAGATAGTTGCTGTTAATATCTTCATTTTACAGATGAGAAAACTGGAACACTGACAGATCAAGTATCTTTCTCAAGATTGCATAGCCAATGAGCAGAGGAGCAAGGATTTGAACCAGGCTGTTGGCTCCACAGCCTACGCTTGAACCTGCTCTAGGCTGTCGGAAGCAACCTAAATAGCTAACAACTGGAGATTTGCTAAGTAAGTACAGTATACTCCATCTATGTAATATTCTGCAAGTATTAAAAATAAGCATTATGTACACTTTTAGCAACATGGGAAATACTTCTAATATAGTGTGAAGAGAAAAAACTCAAAATCATAAAACAACAACAAATCAAAAAATATGCATATAAATATGTTTGAAAGCAAATATCCCCAAAGGCTAACAACAATTACGTGAGGTTAGTAGTGCTAAAGTTTCCTTTCTTCCATTTCTCAAATTTTTATTGTGTGTTCCTTCTAGTGAAAAAAATATACCATTCTCTCTCTATGAAAAAAAGCAGTTGAGTATATTGGACCAGAGCACTGGCTCTGGAGCCATTCTGCCTGTGTTACCACTTCTTAGGTGCATGACCTTGGGCAAGTTGTTGAAGTTTTGTTCCTAAGTTTCTAAGTTTATCCTGTAAAATGAGTATAATTATGGTACCTACCTCATGGGGTGACTATGAGGATTAAATATGCTTAAAGTGTATTTAGAACAATGTCTGGAATTTAGAAAACATGTAAGCATGATCTAGAATCATTATTGTTATTTTACAGAAAAATCTCCCTTAGTGACCAGATACAATGACAGTTCCCTCCAGCTGGTCCTGAGATAGCCATACCCATTAGCAACAAGTTTCTTTTTCTTTTTTTGGGAGGGGGGGACGGGTGAAGAAGATTGGCCCTGAGCTAACATCTGTGCCAATTGCCCTCTGTTTGTATGTGGGATGCCTCCACAACATGGCTTGATGAGTGGGGTGTAGGTCCACACCCGGGATCCAAACCTGTGAACCTGTGACTGCCAAAGTGGAGCACGCAAACTTAACCACTATGCAACTGGCCAGCCCCACAAGTTTTGTTTTTATAGAGAGATCTTACTTTGTCCTTACCATGAATTCTCCAATGCAGAGACTTCTAGGAACCTCCCTACCATTGATTCAGGGGGGACTTCTGTACTCTTTTCAAGAAGCAGTGACAAAAATCAAATCTCTGATATGTTTTTATTTTCAAGAAGTTCGGTGTCCCTGCTTGTGTCACATCTCCGAGGACATGTGCACGAGTGACTGAAACTGCCCATTGAAGCCAATATTACATTAACATCATCAGCACTGAGTTAGAGAAAATGTTTATCTACTTCTCCAATTTTCACCCTTCCCTGGATGTGTGACTTTCGACGAGCTCCCTGATCTGATCTGACAGGCTAAGTAACAATAGAAAGCTGTTTAAGAAATAGGACATTTGTGACTTGATTTTTCTGAATGGAGCACCCCAGGAGGCCTGATTATATGCTTTGAAACTTTTTTCCATCTGGCAGACCCAAAAAGTTTGGAAGATTTTGGTAGAATTTCCTCATTAGCTGAAACAGTTTCATTGAAATTATAAAAAAAAGAAAAAAAATCTGTAAGGATGCCAAGATTTATTGTTAGCTGTCTTGATGGCTAATGAAATGATATGACCTTGTGGTAACCCGTACCAGTTCAATTAAACTGACAGGTGTTTGCTAGGTGGAATATTGCAGTACTTGTAAGAGGAAAGGACACAAATTGATGTTTCATACATTTGTGAGAAGAATCCCTTTTTTTGGAACAATCACTTTTGATGTGTCTATTTGGTTTTCAGGGTGTTGCGGGCCTCTGCTCTCGTAATACTTCAGCTACAGAACCCACGTGTGAACGCTCCTAGGTGAGTTAGCCATTTCCTTCGTGCTGTCTCTTATCTGCCTCTGGCAAGGTCATATGACATTCACTGGCAATGTACTTTAATTAAACTCCCTAATAATTCTCAGCTCTATACCATGGTAAATGTCTAAGAAATTGCTTTATTCCATTTTTGCTAAAGTTATTATTCCTTTTAAGGTTATTCATGAAGGCATCTCTGAGTTTATCTACCCTGACCCCTACTTTGTTCCAGGATTACCCCAAATCTTTCACACTCTCTTTTCTAATAGGCGTGTTCTATTATAACACTATACCACTTGTTAAGACGGATTCACCATCTAAGTCACAGGCCAGCATTTCACAATTAGTGGTGAGTGGTCAATTGAAGAACAAGAAAACAGTTCGGTAATAATGAAATTCCTTTCCCCTTTTGGAAAATGGGATCTAAGGATTCAACCAGCAAATGGTGAATCAATGACAAGTCAATAATAAGATGAGAGACTGTTACTAAAAGATGATCTCAAGATTATTACTTTACAATAAGCTGATTTCTTATATAGATAAATGCTGGACAATCTCTTGTTGTCATAGGGTAACTGAAGATGATTTCATGTGTTCATGTTGCCACATAAAGTTAGATGGAATTGGGTTTGGTCCCCTCTCTAACATGCCATCCATGTATGAACTTGGACGAGTTTCTAAGAATTCTGGACTTCAGTATTTCCACTTGAAAATGGGAGCAGTAGTATTTACCTATTAAGTTAGGAAGGTAAATGTTGTAACATGAAACACGTCACACCCAGCAATCGATTAATGCTTGTCCTCTCCACCCCTGTTTGTGGAGATAGAAAGTAAAGAGATGATAGACAACTCTGCTTTCATCCTCAAATATATTCTTCATTGATTATCATATGTATATAACCATCTACTCAGAAAATAGGTGACATCTTTTCATCTCCATTCTTCATTCCTTTTTCATTTCTCAGCACTTTAATGAGCATCTACTCTAAGCTAAGAACTGAGTGTTGGGGAGACAAAAAGGAGAGTAAAGTATTGATCCTATTCTCAAGGAGATTGGGGTCTAGAAAGGGAGGTTATTTTTTTTTAAAATGCCAGTAGAGAGGCGAAATAAAGTACTATCTTAGTTTTTAAGAAGGAGAAATTATTTTGACTAGGGTTTATGAGAGAAGGCTTCATGGAGGAAGTAGTGTTACATTGGGCTTTAAAGAAGGGGTACAATTTAGACAGCAGGCAGAGAGGGGATACAACGAGCCAAGACTGAAGCAGTGTGATTGGGTGGAAAAAAATTGACCTGGGGCTGGAAAGACCTGGGGCGGCATTACCTTGGATGGACTACTTCTCCCTGGACTTCAGTTTCTTCATCTGTGAAACGTGTGAAATAATCTCTGCCCTGTTGGTCTTTCAGCGCTCTGGAGAAGATCAAATGCATGTGGAAGCTCTTTGAAAACCATAAAGCCCTCTAAATGAAAAGGGTAATTTTTCTCTCTCCTCTTTTATACCATAAACTGCATGAGGGTACTTGACAGGGCCATTCATAGTGACTTCTTAAAAATGTTTGATGAAGTATATTAAAAAATCGCATTGTAAACCTTAAATGTTTACAACTTTTGTCACTTATATCTCAATAAAGCTGGGAAAAAAGTGTGATGAAATAATGAACCATTGATCAAACGAATGAATCCATAAGTGTTATGGACTGAATGTCTATGTCCCCCCCCCCAATTCATATGTTGAGGCCTCTACCCCCAGTGTGGTGGTGGTAGGAGGTGGCCCCTTTGGGAGGTAATTAGGTTTAGATGAAGTCGTGAGGGTGGAGCCCCATGATGGAATTCGTGCCCGCACAAGAAGAGTAAGAGACATCAGCGCTTCCTCTCTCCAGCATGTGAGGATACAGTGAGAAGGTGGCCGTCTGCAAGCCTCACCAAGAACTGAATCTGCCGGCACCTTGATCTCGGAGTTCCTAGCCTCCAGAACCGTGAGAAATAAATGTCTGTTGTTTCAGCCACCCACTCTATGGTATTTTGTTGTTGCAGCCTCAGCAGGCCAAGATGATGAGTGAGTAAATAAATGAATGAAATAAAACAAATGCACAGAGGAGGAAAGCAAATGATATGAACAAGGCATAAAGGGTTACCTTTGAAAACATGTACCACAGCTGAGTGTGGGAAGTGGCTAGATGGGATGAGTCCACTAGGCCAGTGATTCTCAGTGTGGCCTGTGGACCAGCAGCCTCAGTATCACCTGGGAACTTGCTAGAAATGCAAGTTTCTGGGCCCCTCCTCAAGCCTACTGAATCTGCAACTCAGGGATGGGGCCAGCAATCTGTGTTATAGAAATCCCTTTAGGGCATTCTGATGCATAGTGAAGTTTGAGAACCGTGACTTTGTACTATCATGAGGAATTTAGAAATTATTCTGTTGTAGAATCAGTGTTAATGAAGGTTTTTAGTGGTGGATGGATGTAACCAGAGCTGTGTTTCTAGGATGATGAAACATAAAGCTGCGCCTAAAAGAACTTATGGCTTCAGCATAGGAAGGACAGTTGGAAATACTGGAAAGCACATTGTATTTGTGAAGCCCCAGATTGAAGATTTTGGTTTTTCCTAATCTCAGATGGTACCCACATTGTCACCTAAGAGGCAAAGCAGAGCACGCATTACTCGGAGGCACTGGGAACCCTGCTTGGTCTGCAGGGACCAGGCGAGATGAGAATGTTTACGTGAAAGTATGTGAGTGGACTGTTGCATGTGGGCCCAACTCGTCTCAGAGAGGCCTCTTAGTCCTGACCAATCGTGTGGAAACATTAAGTGGAACCTTCCAAACCAAGTTAAATGGGCAGCTCTTCCTAAGACTAGACTAACTAACTGAGTGCAAACACTGCTCTATCTTTAGGGCTGATGGAGACAGGTCGGCCAAAGGGGAAGGAAGGCATGTGTGGAGGAGAAATGAAGAGCCTCAAGGGAAAATATTTATCTTAAGGGAGGGAAGAGTCAAGATGCAAAGACACAAGGATCAGTTGCGGAGGGAGTGGGAGAGAAACGGGATGAGGACTGTTCAGAGTGGTTTGGGACTGCTGGGATGACCAATCCTCTGGGTTTGCCCAGGACTGTGGGATTTCCCAGGACACAGGATGTTCAGGACAGTCCCTGTCAATCAGGACAGTGGGCCACCCTATGACTACACTCCTTCCCTTGTGTTCCAGACCTAGGGAGAAGACATGGTAAGAGTAGAAAAGTCACCTCTCTATTTTGTTTCTCAAAATATTGTCTGTGGACTGGCAACGTCAGCATCACAGGGAAGTTGTTAGAAATGCAGCTCCTCGGGCCCACCCTAGACCTGCAGGATCAGACCTACGTGTCAACAAGAGCCCCAGGCGATTTGTACGCACATCAGTTTGAGAAAGATGACCTTAGAAGATCCAGTAAGCCCCTCATGGCGTCCCCAGTAAGAAAATGTAGCTCTGATGGAGAGCAGAGAGCATTTCTTGGCTGTGAGATGGCTAACGTCCCGGTTGGCCAAATTCCAAGCCAAAATCACATCAACTTTACCTGGGAAGGAACAGAAGCAGCATCAGGGAAGATTATATACTAGGGTACCGGGAATAGAGAGCAGAGAGGGAAAACAACGGATGACGCAAAGTAGCCGAGATAGGCCCCTGAACTACTAATAGTGATAGTTGTAGAGAATGTGAGGAAAGCAGAAATCCAGCCATTGTGTGGTGAGAGGAAAGCTAGAGAAATGCTCTTCTGTTCCTATTACTGTGACCCTGCTTTGGTAAAAACAAGCTGATGTAGGCTGGGAAGCGAGTGAGTTATGCTTGGAAATGTGGAGCCACAACACTATGAGTAAGCTTGTCGAAAAAAATAAAAAACGATCACCCAGTGAAAGTCTATGGCTTTAACATCTTGGCCTCACTCGCTTGCGTGTCACTCAGATTCACAAGGAAAGTTTAGTTTTCTTCCTTTTTCTCTTCCTGGTCTGGTCTTCATGGACTCCAGCTTTGCGTTCTAGCAGGAATAATTTGCACTTAATTAATAGTGTTTCATTTTCCTCCAGCTCGAACATAATTCTTTCAGTTTAAACATTTTAAACAGTGGTTCTTCAACTCAAACATGCAGAATCACCTAGAGGGCATGTAAAAACACAGACTGAGAGGCTCACCCCCAGGGTTTCTGATTCAGTACATGGGGTGGAGACAGAATTTGCATTTCTAAGGAGTTTCTGGGTGATGCTGATATGTTGGTCCAAGGAACACGCTTTGACGACCTCTGATTCAAGCTAGTCAGCATTTTATTCCCATCCAAAGGGGATGGTTTCAAAAGTCCTTTAGATCAATGCTTTCAACTTGAGAATCAAAAACATGGTCTTCCTGCATATGACTTGTGCCACAAGCAGCTCGTCATGCCAGTTCAACACACCGGAACTGGTCTATATCTTGTTCAACAAGATGAGTCCACTGATCACATGCTAGGATGTCATGGCAGTGTCAATTTATGATAAAAATTTCTAAATACGAACACACACCTCTGTTTATCTCACCTCAGACCAGTAATAGTTTCTGGACTGGCGCTGGTCCAGGGACCGCATTTTGAGTAACTGTTTTAGATGACTCAGTCTTTCTCAGATTCTCCACCTCCCTCTTCCTTCTCTTTCCCAAGATAGTATCTAGGTATAAGAGGGGGGTCTGATTGTATTCTTGTGGCACCCTTGGATCTTGCACTGCTTCTGGATACTCAGTGATCTCCTCTGTAAGAAGGGCTGGATTCAGCTTCTTCCTAGAATTGGGACCACTGAAATGTGACTAGGGCCCATCTGATCTTTTGGGATGACGTGTGCCAGCCCTCACTACTGCTGCCATAGCCCTGAACATTTCCCCTAGCATCACAGTTCCATCCCCCATGGCCTCTTTCCCTGCTCTCAGACCTCTGCTAGTCCATCAGCAGTCTTACTGGGGAAGTGAGAAACTCCGGAGACTCCTGCTTCCCACACAAAGGCCACGAGGAGACAGAAATGCTTTCAAGGTCCTATGCATCTACCCACCTTCTGCTGCTGCCCCTATACCATTGCTTCTCAGCCACATGGAATGCGGTGCTGAGCCAAACGGTCAGAATCCCCTAGAAGCAGTGGAGGGAGCTTGTAATTTAGCCAATTGTTAATTTTTCAGGAATTTTGCACTTTAGTTGTTAAACACAGCCATTATTAAAAATTAATATATATTTAAACAAATTATATTAAAAGCAAAGATAATTAATACTCAAAATCATCACTTCCTATTTATTTTACTATGTTTTATGTTCACTACATGTGTGTGTTGGAAATTCTTTATAATAGTGTACCACCACACAGTTCTTCCCAACTCTGTTCAGTAATGTCAAGTCGATAGCTTCAAATTGGCCAAGGTAGGAGTTCTTACACTATGTAAATGAACAAACATTATAAATCAGGGCTCCACCTCCCCTCCCCTCCACCTCTCCACACAATCCAGTTGTTAAACATTTTCCAGCACATCACTGCCTAGAGGCTAAATCTGGGAAAGTGAGCCACTCACCCAGTGACCCCCTGTCACCCTATACCTATCTAGAGGTTACAAAACTGCTCTTCCCCTGAGAATTGGCCCCAAAAAGGTGTGTGTGGAAGAGATATTGGAAACTAGAACCCTAATATCTTATCTACTTGCCCTACTTCTGTCTCCCTTCTCTCCCTACCATCTCTTGGGACCAGAAGGAGCGAACTTCAGGCTTTTTATTTCCTCCACAGCTTATCCTTATACATTAAGGATACAAATTCATAGCCTAACATCACCTTTCTGGTATTCTTCCCCCAAACCTGTAAATTTAGTCTAGTCATAAGAAGCATTAGATAAACTCAGATTGAAGGACATTCTATAAAATATCTACCCAATTCTCTTCAGAACTGTCGAAATCATGAAAGACAAGGAAAGACCAAGAAATGATCATAGCTTGGAGGAGATATGATATCATGGCTTAGACCCTGGAAAAGAAAGGAAATTAATAAAAAGCTGTGGAAATCCAAGTAAAGTCTGAGTATTGAACCAATATTAATTTCTTAATTTTGATCACTGTATCATGTTTATGTAAAATGTTAAAATTGTGTGAAGCTGGGTGGAGGGTACATGAGAACTCTCTGTACTGTATTTGCAACTCTTCTGTAAGTATACAATTTTTCCAAATAAAACTAATGAAGGGAAGAATTCACGGCTTAGGTAATAGGTGCATAGGTATCTTTTCTATTCTATGGAAAGAACTGTGTTCTTCATGATATGATGAAAGGGGGAATGATAGGGATGGTAGAAAATGTTTTCCTCTTGACAAAGTTTGGCTTTCAAGTCTTTTATCTTTTACAGAATAAAAAATTTTATTCTGGATGTTATAGGCTGAACATTAACTCTCTCCCTTTTTCTTTACAATTTTGCTGTAACAAAACTAATCCCCCCAACCTGAAAGTGGATATCTTCAGACAACGAAGGAGGTCATATACATAGAAAGTAGATTCATATAAATTTAAAATATTACCTTTGTTTCACGTCTATCTGAAAATGGGCCATGGCTTACATGCTACATCTCTTTCTAAATGGAAGAATAGCCAGGCAGAAAAATCCCTGAAGAAGGAAGAGTCAATGTGCTCTAGGGCAGTGCTCCTCAAACTTTAATTAGAGTTTGCATCACTTGGGGATCTTGTTACAGAGCAGAGTCCCATTCAGTAGGTTTAGGTTGGGGACCTATATTCTCATTTTCTGACAAGTTCCCAGGTGATGCCCTGCTGCTGGTCTCTGAGTAGGAAGAGTCAGGGCCCTGTCTGAGGTATTTCCTCCTTGCTCGGCCCAGTAACCATAAGGAAAGTGCTTACTGGTCAGAGGTTTAAAGAAACATAAGAAATGCACAGTCCTTCTGTAAGACCAGAAATAAAATAAACAAGTTAAACAAAGAAGAAATACATTCATCAAAATATGGCATTATTTCACACATTAAGATGGCATGAGGGGCCGGCTCCGTGGCGGAGTGGTTAAGTTCGTGCGCTCCGCTGCGGCACTCCAGGGTTCGGATCCTGGGCGCGGACATGGCACCACTCGTCAGGCCACGTTGAGGTGGCGTCCCACATCCCACAACTAGAAGGACCTATAACTAAGATATACAACTGTGTACAGGGCGGGGTTGGGGAGATAAAGGAGAAAAAAAAAAAAGAAAAAAAAGATTGGCAACAGTTGTTACCCAGGTGTCAATCCTTAAAAAAAAAAAAAAAGAAGAAGATTGGCAACAGTTGTTAGCCTAGGTGCCAATCTTTAAGAAAACAAAAAAAAAGATGGCATGAAAGATGGACTATCCAGCCATTCGCTGTAGATAAGTGAAGCTATTTTTGAAGTTTGATTTGAAGACCCAAATAAGAGTCATTTTACCTAGTCATACCCTTTCACTAGAGAAGCAAAAGTCAACATTTTCTGTTAAGAGTTTACTGTCAGAATTATTGAGTTGTAGTGCCAATTTAAACGAATCTCTTCCCTCCTCCAAAAGTTTCTAATGATTATGGTTCCTGGAAAATAGTATATCATTTTTTCAGTACATACTCTTAATCTACAAAAAGCTCTTCCAAAAATTTAAGTTTGAAAAACAGGTAATTTGCTGGTATAGAGACAACTCATGCCAGTCAAAAAACATATATTTTTAGAATTTGGAGCATAACGACGAGAATAAAGCATTATGCGTGTGTGTGTGCCTGTTTTTACCACCACATTATTAGGAGTTTCCAGGATGTTACATGCATTTACAGAACCACTCTCTTACCATTGAAACAGTGAGACATTTTTCTAGAATGCTTGCTCAGTGCTCCTGTAGGCCCCCTGGAAATCGTATACATCATTTATAAATATTGGGATGCATTTGACCGAAGTAGACCACTTTGCTAATCACTTACCAGTTCTTTTATTCAATATTTCTTTGTATAAGAAGCTGTGTTGCTTGTCTTATCGATATATGTTATCCAATTTGTAGAAAATATAAATAATATCGCAAATAGCGAAATGAGATCCTGTGTGCAGATTCCTGCTTCCTGCTGGGCACAGTCCTAATTAGTAATAGCTTTTACTTGCACTTTCGCCACTGCCAAACAGACTGTTGATGGGATCATTGGCATTCTTAATGTCTCTTCGGGGATCAATAGAGTGTTTCTTTTTTCCTAGACCCCAACTTCGTCTCCTTTACACTTTAAGAATACAGTATTAGAGGCCAACCCGGTGGCGCAGTGGTTAAGTTCACACATAACGCTTCTCGGAGGCCTGGGGTTCCCCTGTGCGGACATGGCACCGCTTGGCAAAAGCCATGCTGTGGTAGGCATCCTACGTATAAAGTAGAGGAAGATGGGCATGGATGTTAGCTCAGGGCCAGTCGTCCTCAGCAAAAAGAGGAGGATTGGCAGTAGTTAGCTCAGGGGTAATCTTCCTCAAAAAAAAAAAAAAAAAAAAAGGACTGTTCAATTTAAAGCAGGCTTGTAGAGATTTAGTCACCCAGGATGGATGTTAGGTGAGTGGAAAGTGGGAAAAAATGCAGGTCGATTTCATCCTCTGTGTTTCAGATCTTTGAAGAGGAAAGTGGACTGGTTTCTAAAACTGTTCAATTGTTTGAAGGTAATCATAGCCTCCATTGCTCTTCTGATTTTCATCTATAGATACGGGAAAGTGTTTGTATCAGCTACTTCTTTCTTTAAGTACTTGTGCTTACTTTTCTCTTGAAATAAAAATTAAAAATTGGAAATTATTAGCTGTTTTACATGAAATAAATCTGATATGTGTATTATCAACAAAGACTTATGTCTCAAACAGGAAAGAACATTTCATGAAACCAAATTTGAAGTTCAAGCAGAGCTTTCATGTTGAAGTATTTGTAGTTCCCTTTTTCTTGGCCCTACTGGTCTTTTTTTTTCTTTTTCTGCTTTATCTCCCCAAAACCCCCTGTACATAGTTGTATATCTTAGCTGCAGGTCCTTCTAGTTGTGGGATGTGGGACGCCACCTCAACGTGGCCTGACGAGTGGTGCCATGTCCGCACCCAGGATCCGAACCCTGGGCCACCGCAGCGGAGCGCACGAACTTAACTGCCCAGCCATGGAGACTGCCCCTATTTTATTTATTTATTTTTTGTCATTTGAAATATAAATATACTTGTCTCAAATTCTTTGTGCAGTGGTGAGTGTATAAGTAAGTACCAATAAATAACAAATGATCACATTTCTACTGAGAAATTTCTTATTCTAAATGTGACAACTATCCCTCAATTGTTTGTGCCCACAGAAGTGTTGACTGAGCCTGATTCTTTTTTATAAGAAAAATTGGTGAATCTGAAATAAAAGTACAAAATATTATCTTTCATGCAAATATATGAATAATACCAAAGAAAGCAAGAAAACGTTTTAAAAAATAATTGGTCTTGGCAACAGATTTATAAATAGGAGCCTAATAAATCTCATTTTTCTTCTTAGTTGCAGCCGTGCTCCCTTGCACGTTTTTTTGCGGAGGAAGATTAGCCCTGAACTAACATCTGTGTGCATCTTGCTGTACTTTATATGTGCGACACCTGCCACAGCATAGGTCCACACCCAGGATCCGAACCAGTGAACCCTGTGCCACCAAAGCAGAACGCGTGAACTTAACCACTATGCCATTAGGCTGGTCCACCTTGCACTTTCTTTTATTTCAGATGATTTTGTACTTTCTTTGTAACTCACTCTAAATAATGCGTGTTGTTTTGCATTTTTTATATCAGGAAGCGAAATATTAAAAAATTTATCAAAGTTGCAGGAAAAAGGGCACTCCCATAATAGAAAAAAAAATGTAGCTTTATGTCATCATTTTTTTAGAGATTCTCTAGAGGTGAGCAGGGTTCCTTTAAAAATATGAAATGATATATTATTTGAAAGTTGCTTGAACTACCACTGATTGAGATGGTAAATTGGCACAACAGTTGTGCAATAGCCATTTAAAAAACAGAAAAACCTTGAACTGTGTATAACCATTCAAACAGAGATATTCACTTTTAGAAATTTATGCTACAGAAATACAGATATGTTCACAATTAAGCATGAGACTGTTCATTGTGGCATGAGATATATTAGGGGAAAATTGGAAACATCCTAATGTCTAAACATAGATGCTAGTTTAATAAATTATAATACATCCAATCTATAAAATTCCATTTACCATCACATAGAAATCATATAGAAAATATTTAATGATGTGAGAAATACAAAACATTAAGTGGAAAAAGTAAGCTAGAAAACAGTTTGTCTAAAATGATCACATACGTAATATGTATACATATGGTCTGTCATACAATAAAATGTTAACAGGTCAATTATGTCTCAATAAAACTGGAAAAATGTTATTGGTGTCTGTTTCTGTGTGTTGGGATTATGAGATTATTTTCTTTTTTGTTTATATTTATTGATTTCTTTCAACAAGTATGTTTTGTTTTTAATAACTAAAAATATTTATCTTTTAAAAAACCAATAAGTTCCATTAATACTCTCCCACTTGTCCTTTGAAAATTTGACAGCTTTATATGTTAACAATTCTGTAAGACGTAGTTGATTTTAAAAATGGAAATAGACCAGATAGTTGTGTTAAAGCAAAGCAAGATAGGTCTTGTAAAATATTATAGTGACTTACTTTATTAATAGATAAGCCATAAATATCCTGATGAATTATTTCCTCCTGAGAAATAAGAATTGCCCTGGCTCAGGGCTACATTTTCTTGGAATATCATCAAAGCCATAATCAATTTGCGTAGCTGTTCTAACTTTATATCTTAAGGAGTAGTTTGTAACATTCCTGCATAGATAAGATAGCTCCTGGAATCTCCCCAGTGCTCAACTATTTCTTTGATGACTCACTATGGGGTTGATTTGTTGATATGAATGTTAAACTGACATATATCTATTGACTGTCTATTAGATATTTAGATATTACTAATCACTGAGGATATCAGAGAGTATGAGGTATGGCCTCAGACCTAAAGGAGCTACAGTGTTGTTGGGAATTAAATAATATGAAACAAACAGAAGAATTTTTTAAAGAATATAGGCCAAACACTAAATTACCTGGAGAGATAAGACCATGGTATTTATAAAAAACAAATGATAAATGTAGGCTGAGATTTTGGGAAAAAGTTCAAAGAAAAGGCATGACTTGCTCTGACTTTAGAAAGATGAGTGGGCTTTGGGCCTGAGAGAGGAAAGGAAAACATTTCAGTTGAAGGGATGCAGGTCTAAAGTCCATAGGGCTGAATTTGTTGGTTGTGACTACGTTTACTGCAATTTGGTCTGAGTTAGGAATTTGGTTAGTCCAGGACAATAAGGATATGGGGCTGGAAGATTCCTGTGTTTCTGACGACAGAATAGCGAGGTAAGGGGGCAGGGAACAGGTAGGATGCTTTGTGGGGGACTTTAACCTTAAAGTGAAAGCTGAGAAACCACCAAACAAATGCAACTTGAGAGACACTTTACAAAATACTTGACCAGCACTCATGGAGAGTGTCAAGGTCATGAAAGACGGATAACTGCGGAACTGTCATAGATTGGAGGAGACTAAAGAGACACAACAACTAAATGTAATGTGGAACCCTGAATTGGACCTTGGAATGGAAGAAAGGACATTAGTGGAAACTGGTGAAATCTGAATAAAGTCTGTAATTTAGTTAATGGTATTGTACCAATGTTAATTTCTTACTTTTGATCATTGCACCATAGTTATATAAGATGCTAACCTTGGGGGAAGCTGGGTCAAGGGTATATGGCAACTCTTTACTATCTTTGCAAATCTGTAAATAGAAAATTATTTTAAAATAAAAAGTTGAAAAACAAACAAAACATCTGTATACAGAGAACTCTCAATCCTCTGTGTCTCTGGAGGGATCTTATTTTCCTTTTTAGAATCTTCACACTTTTTCTATCCACATTTTTTAAATTGAGGTAACATTGGTTTATAATATTATATAAATTTCAGGTGTACACCATATTTCGATTTCTGTGTAGACTACATCATATTTAGGGCCCAAAGACTAGTTACCATCCATCACTGTACACATGTGCCCTGTCGCCCTTTTCTCCCTCTCCTCTCTCCCCTTCCCCTCTGGTAACCACCAATCTAATCTCTGTGCCTATGTGTTTGTTTGTTGTTGTTGTTTTGATCTTCCACTTATGAGTGAAATCATATGGTATTTGACTTTCTCCATCTGATTGACTTCACTTAGCATAATACCCTCAAGGTTCATCCATGTTGTCACAAATGCCAAAATTCATCCTTTTTGTCCCTGAGCGGTATTCTATTGTGTATATATACCACATCTTCTTTACCCATTCATCCATTGACGGGCACTTTGGTTGTTTTCAAGTCTTGGCTATTGTGAATAATGCTGCCTATCCACATCTAAAAATCTTCGTTTTTTTAGTAGTCCTTATGTATTTTTATTTCCTCATCTTAAAAATAAAAACGACTTCTAGAGAATTTGACACCTCCCTAGGCTAGCAATTGGAGTTTTCTAGTCCCTCTAGCTTCTTACCTGGCACAGGCCTGAACCTTCATTTCCTGTCCCAGCAGTGGTATTACAACTTCAGCCACCTGCCTTAGGTCCAGGGCTCTCATATGTCTATGGATCATTGCTTTCTGCTCTATCACTCAGGGTTTCCCTTTGATTTGAGTTTACCAATGTATTTCACATATTTTAAAACTTTTATTTTATTCAGCATTTCTGTACTTAGAGGACAAAGAAAGCCTTACCATGAGCTTCCATCTGACAAATTCTCTAGAAGACACTTCTAGAAGATAACCTCTCGTAAGATATCAAACTCAAGCCTGCACCCCCTGTGGTTGTGGGATTCAAAGTTCTACCACCCACGTGGTGTAGAAGCTAAGACATTAATGTAGAAACTGTTATGGAATGGGCAAAACTCCTGTGGGCTTAGCAGGACAAATGCAAAGCCACTTTGTAGAGATGCTTTCATAAGCCTGAGCACAAGGGTCTCTCAGGTAAAAACCCCATTGTATATTAGTTTACTATCAAACTTATCAACTGTCCAGAGAAACAAACCATCATGAGCAGCAAACAAGAAAATTAGTACCCTAAAACCCAGAGAAGATAAAACAATCTAAACTATCCTATAAAGTAGGACTGTTTAACTTGTTTAAAGAGATAAATGAAGATATAATAACTCAAGAAGTCAGTATGAAACTAGGAAAAGAGGATTTTAAAAAATGGAATTCTAGAAATAATATATGGCCATGGATATTACAACCTCAGTGGAAGTATTAAACAGTAGATTAGACACAACTGTGAACAAGAATTAGATACCGGAAAACAGATTTGAGGAAATTATCCAGACTATAGATCAAAGAAGTACAGAGAAGAAAAATCTGAAAGAGAATTTAGGAGTTGTGGAGGCTAGAAGAAGAAGGTTCAATATTTTTCTAAAAGCAATTCTACAAGGATAGGATAGAGAAAAGCAGCAATATTTACATTTTATCTATTCAACTTTATGGCCAAGCGTACGTACCCAACGGATACCCAACAGCTGGTGGACAATAAGGACCTTTTGCTCTATGCAGCATAACCTCATCACTCATTAATGTACCACACTCCACTCATTTCTTGGATTATGCTGTTGTTGACTAGAAATATCCTCTTTCTTTCCTTCGTTGTCCAAATTACATTACTACCTTCTAGATTCAGTTTAAGTTTTGACTTTTCTATAAAGGGGTCCCAGTGATTCTCTTGCTTCCTTAAACTTCTTTATCATTGGTTCTGAACCACCCAACTAAGTCCTTAACTATGCTCTACACCTCTGGATGGGAAACTATGACAGCTAAACACATCCTGCCCACTGCCTGTTTTTGTGTGGTCTGCAAGCTAAGAATGGTGTTTATATTTTAAATGCCTGTAAAAAATCAAAAGATGAATATTTTGTGGCACAGAAAAATTACATGAAATTCAAATTTTAATGCCCTCTTTGATGTCCAATAAAGTTGTCTTGGAACACAGCCATGCCCATTCATTTGTGTATTGTCTGTTGCTGCTTTCCTGCTACAAAGACAGAGTTGAACAGTTGCAGCAAAGAACATGTGACCCACAATGACTAAAATATTAACTTTCTGGCCCTTTAAAACAGATAAAGTTTGCCAATCTCTGTTGTACACTATTTGCTCATTCTGTCATACATATGAATCCTGCCTCTCAAATTTGCTTGAGAACTACTTGATGTTGTCAGGAACGTTGTCATAGACTTCTTTTGTCTCCCCAACACCTGACTCCATCTAGGACAGTTATGAATTTTCTTTAGCAAATTTTGGCATGTTGAGTTCAGGATTTTAAGAAATAAATCTTACTTCATAGTGCAGAATAGATTAGAAAGAAAGAGGAGTGATAATAGTTTATATGGATTAATTTAGGCTTGAAGGCAGATGCTATCCTGTTTTGGGCCTGTGATATTGTGTGACCTAGTTAAGTGCACTGGTATGGGATAAGGTGGTAGAGGCAGGGACCTGGAATAAGATCCTGCCGGTTAGGTGGCCCAGGCCAGGAGGGAGAAGATGGGAGGACATTCAGTCTGGAAGACAGAGCACAGTTTCCAGAGGGTTTAGCCTCACGCAACCCAGAAAGCATTGGGCAACAAAGACCAAGGAGCACCGAGGAATGAAGGGGGAGGGGACAGAGCCGCAAGGCATCTAGAGGCCCACAGGGCAAGCAGGTAGGGCACAGTTACCAAGGAAGTTGACTGGCTGGGCTGCATTCTGCCTGAGATTAGGAAATAAAGACACTAGCCAAGGTGGGGCTCGGGAAGAGACCAGAGTCAGACATTCAAACTGTGAGACAAGTTTGAATGGGTCTCATGAGTACAAGGGTCTCAGGATCAAGTGTTTAGCCGGACTAGGTGTAGAGTTATTTAAATGCCAAGTCCTAGCGTATTGAGTTGGATCTTAAGTTCATTCTACTTAAAATCAGACTTGATTCTGGAGACCAGGATGGGGACGGCTACATAATAAACACCATAACTCCCCAAATATGGCAGCGTCCACCTTCATGCCTGCACATAAGTTATAAGGGAATTGCTGCAAATGTGGCAGTCTGTCCTGGGTAGGGCAGGCTCTGTGACGCCCAGTCCACCATCAAGGGCAACGGAAGGTAAGAGCTGACTGTGAGAGATATTTGAAACAAAAAAATGTATCTGTCACATTCTTCCAAGAGATCAAGAAGAGACTTGGTAAATATGACAATATATGACAAAATGGAGGTCAGATAGAGGAGCAGACGCTGTCAGTGCTCTGCCCACATCCCCTTGGCATTCACCTCTATGTGCAGAAGGCTTCTGACTGTAAACACCTGCACCCCTC